TCTTCCACTTCTCCACTGACATCTTCCACTTCTCCACTGACATCTTCTACTTCTCCACTGACATCTTCCACTTCTCCACTAACATCTTCCACTTCTCCACTAACATCTTCTACTTCTCCACTGACATCTTCCACTTCTCCACTTACCTCTTTTACTTCCACCTCCCCACTGACATCTTCCACTTCCCCACTGACATTTTCGACTTCCCCACTGACATCTCCCACTTCCCCACTGACATCTTCCACTTCTCCACTAACATTTTCTATTTCTCCACTGACATCTCCCACTTCCGCACTTACATCTTCCACTTCTCCACTGACATCTTCCACTTCTCCACTGACATCTTCCACTTCTCCACTTACCTCTTCTACTTCCACTTCTCCACTGACATCTTCCACTTCCCCACTGACATCTTCCACTTCTCCACTTATCTCTTCTACTTCCACTTCCCCACTGACATCTTCCACTTCTCCACTGACATCTTGTACTTCTCCACTGACATTTTCTACTTCTCCACTGACATCTTCCACTTTTCCACTGACATCTTCCACTTCTCCACTGACATCTTGTACTTCTCGACTGACATCTTCTACTTCTCCACTGACATCTTCCACTTCTCCACTGACATCTTCCACTTCTCCACTGACATCTTCTACTTCTCCACTGACATCTTCCACTTCTCCACTAACATCTTCCACTTCTCCACTAACATCTTCTACTTCTCCACTGACATCTTCCACTTCTCCACTTACCTCTTTTACTTCCACCTCCCCACTGACATCTTCCACTTCCCCACTGACATTTTCGACTTCCCCACTGACATCTCCCACTTCCCCACTGACATCTTCCACTTCTCCACTAACATTTTCTATTTCTCCACTGACATCTCCCACTTCCGCACTTACATCTTCCACTTCTCCACTGACATCTTCCACTTCTCCACTGACATCTTCCACTTCTCCACTGACATCTCCCACTTCTCCACTTACCTCTTTTACTTCCACTTCCCCACTGACATCTTGTACTTCTCCACTGACATCTTCCACTTCCCCACTGACATCGTCCACTTGTTCACTGACATCTTCCACTTCTCCACTTACCTCTTCTACTTCCACTACCCCATTGACATCTTCCACTTCCCCACTGACATCTTCCACTTCCACACTGACATCTTCCACTTCTCCACTGACATCTTCTACTTCTCCACTTACCTCTTCTACTTCCACTTCCCCACTGACATCTTCCACTTCCCCACTGACATCTTCCACTTCCACACTGACATCTTCCACTTCTCCACTGACATCTTCCACTTCTCCATTTACCTTTTCTACTTCCACTTCCCCACTGAAATCTTCCACTTCCCCACTGACATCTTCCACTTCTCCACTGACATCTCCCACTTCCCCACTGACATCTTCCACTTCCCCACTGACATCTCCCACTTCCCCACTGACATCTTCCACTTCTCCACTGACATCTTCTACTTCTCCACTGACATCTTCCACTTCTCCACTAACATCTTCCACTTCTCCACTAACATCTTCTACTTCTCCACTGACATCTTCCACTTCTCCACTTACCTCTTTTACTTCCACCTCCCCACTGACATCTTCCACTTCCCCACTGACATTTTCGACTTCCCCACTGACATCTCCCACTTCCCCACTGACATCTTCCACTTCTCCACTAACATTTTCTATTTCTCCACTGACATCTCCCACTTCCGCACTTACATCTTCCACTTCTCCACTGACATCTTCCACTTCTCCACTGACATCTCCCACTTCTCCACTTACCTCTTTTACTTCCACTTCCCCACTGACATCTTGTACTTCTCCACTGACATCTTCCACTTCCCCACTGACATCGTCCACTTGTTCACTGACATCTTCCACTTCTCCACTTACCTCTTCTACTTCCACTACCCCATTGACATCTTCCACTTCCCCACTGACATCTTCCACTTCCACACTGACATCTTCCACTTCTCCACTGACATCTTCTACTTCTCCACTTACCTCTTCTACTTCCACTTCCCCACTGACATCTTCCACTTCCCCACTGACATCTTCCACTTCTCCACTGACATCTTCTACTTTTCCACTTACCTCTTCCACTTCCACTTCCCCACTGACATCTTCCACTTCCCCACTAACATCTTCCACTTTTCCACTGACATCTTCCACTTCTCCACTGACATCTTCTACTTCTCCACTTACCTCTTCTACTTCCACTTCCCCACTGACATCTTCCACTTCCCCACTGACATCTTCCACTTCCACACTGACATCTTCCACTTCTCCACTGACATCTTCTACTTCTCCACTTACCTCTTCTACTTCCACTTCCCCACTAACATCTTCCACTTCCCCACTGACATCTCCCACTTCCCCACTGACATCTTCCACTTCTCCACTGACATCTTCTACTTCTCCACTTACCTCTTCTACTTCCACTTCCCCACTGAAATCTTTCCCTTCCCCACTGACATCTTCCACTTCTCCACTGACATCTTCCACTTCCCCACTGACATCTTTCACTTCTCCACTGACATCTTCCACTTCTCCACTTACCTCTTCTACTTCCACTTCCTCACTGACATCTTCCACTTCCCCACTGACATCTTCCACTTCTCCACTTACCTCTTCTACTTCCACTTCCCCACTGACCTCTTCCACTTCTCCACTTACTTCTTCTACTTCTACTTCCCCACTAACCTCTTCTACTTCTCCAGAAACGTCTTCAGCTTCGCCACTGACATCTTCATCTTCCACTTGTTCACTAACATCTTCCACTTCTCCACTTACATCTTCCACTTCTCCACTAACATCATCCATTTCCCCGCTTACATCTTCTACCTCCCTTGACACTTCTTTCACTTTCCCACTTACATCTTCCACTTCCCCACTTACATCTTCCACTTCCCCACTTACATCTTCCACTTCCCCACTACTATCTTCCACTTCTCCACTTGTGTCTTTCACTTCTCCCGATTTTTCTTTGATCTCTTCTTTTGCCTCATCTGATGTGTCTTCTCCACTAGTTGTCAACTTGTCTTCCCCCTTCGACTTTGTGCCATTTACCTCCCCCTCACCATCTCTGGAAATATCTTCCCCTACGATCTCGTCCTCTTCTTTCGTTGCATTGGCATAATCTATCGCCGTCACTGTTGTGGATTCTAGTATTTCCATTTCAGTAACGTTCACCGAGACGTCTACAGTACTCACTACTGGCTTCTCTGTTGTGACTTCCGGAACGAACAGATCTGGAAATATTTCCACTGGCCGTCTTGTCTTCTTGGCTGGACGGGGCGTTTTCCTATACACTATATCAAACTCTAGACTTCCTACCGGAGCTGGCTGTGTAACACCCGTCCCCGATTCTTGTTGCACGGTGGTTTGCGGTTTAGTTTGTGTGCTCGTTTCGTCAGTTAAACTAGACGATACGGTTTCATTCGCTAATGAGGAACTTGTTATATTTTCACTCGAAGTTGTACTGATTTTAAATGTTGTGTTTGTTCTTAGCATGGGGGTAGAAGTTTCATTAAGACCTAGCTCGGATTTTGAAGTTTCATTTATTGGGAATGGAGAGACCACTGTCTCGTTACTTGCTAATGAATCAGTTTCATTCTTCGAATCTAATAATTTATCAAAAGTTGACACTAGGGTGTCATTTTCTTGAGGGAGAGACGTAACACCAGCAATATCTGTTGTAGCGATAGTGTCAGTGTCGTTAAAAGTGTCAGTTGCGGTGTCTGCTGCATTGATTGTGTCATTAAAAATGTCAGCTGCACCTGGGACATCTGTAACATTGACAGTGTCACCTGTGTTAACTGAGAACGTATCATTAATAGAAGGAGAGACAGAAGAAGACGGAGTAACAACAGATGTGGGGACAGCGTCAGTGGCATCAGTGGCATCAGTAACCTTAACAATTTCCACGACAGTAGTATCTTCTGATGCAGTTGTTGTACTCCAATTCACAGAGGTTGAACTTTCAGTGACGTCAGTATAGGTAGGCGTACTCAAACTCGATGTAGAGGTGGCGGTCTCGGTGTCTTTCGTGTCTTCTATTTCCGTCACAATTTTTTCACGAGAAGTTGTTAGCTCAGTCGTGCTCTCAGTCGACACAGAGGCTTTTCTTGATAACGTTGTAGTTGTACTAACTGAGATGGCCTTCGTTTGTTCTTCCTGGAAAATGACAATATTTTTATTTGATTATTTTAACGAAAACTTTTGACGGTCGACCTAATGTTAATGGTGTTAAGAGTGAGTCTTTGAGTGACAGGCATGTTGCTTACAGCACATATGTGTAGGGAAAAGTTTACTAATACATGTAGGCAGGGGTGATCGTTCTTTAGAGATGTGGGGGCTCTCGTTGCCTAGAGGTTAAGGTGTTGACCTCTCATTCAAAAAGTCTCGGGTTCGAATCCGGGTAGCAACCGAAAAATTTTCTTCTCTAAATTTGTCTCCTTTCACCTCATTTCCTGCTCTCTAGCAATGTTCTGTCGTCTGCTTTCGTCTCCCCTTTCTGCCCCCCCCCCCTCACCTCCTTTGCCCCTACCTCTGGGCTCCTCATTCTTTCTGCAGCCTTTCTACTGCTACTCCTTCGCTTCTTCTTACTGCTGTCTTTCAGCCACACCCCTGATCTTTTGGTAGGAAAGATCTACACCTAGCCTTCTCGGACAAGGGCGAAAAATCTTGGAGGGCCCATGCGTAAGTTGCATACGTTAAAGATCCCTTGGTGGTCTAAAATCGATAGGAGTAGGCTTCGGCCGCCACCCGGGCAAAATTCAAAATTTCCTACCAACTGAAAATATAAGGTGTGTCCCGCGCGCTCATATGACCTTATGCAGTTGCGAGCGCCGTAAAACACTTTACAAAAACAAAAAAGAGATGATGTGTTAATTTCCTATGTCACTTTTAAAGGACGTTAGAAAACAAGAGGGAGGGAGAGAAAGAAACAGGGAGGTACTCACAGGGAGAAATTATTGCTGTTGAGAACATAATAGCGAGTACTAGATGACCAGTAAATGAAGTATATGTAGAAAATACAATGGATGTTGCGGCGTCAAGGGGGTATGGGTTGTGGTGGTTGACCTGCAAGACGAAACAACATCTTTAGGAACATTTTTGCATGAAAACAACATATACACAGACAGGAACAGACACGACACACACACACACACACACACACACACACACACACACACACACACACACACACACACACACACACACACATACACACACACATACATACACACACACCCACACACACACACACACATACTCACAGATTTAGCGTCTCAAATCTTCCACAAGGCTTACAAGGATTAAGACTTCTAAGATTACACATAGACATCTATATACATGAGGTAGAAACCTACTTTAGTGGTTTGCTCTGTTGTTGATGGTGTTGTGACGTCGATTTCTGTTGTTGTCTCTTGCTCCAAGGTGTCTTCACACAGAGAACCTAAAGGATGCGCATGATGATTTTATTAAAATGCATGAATTGTGCATTCTGTGTAAGAACACTAATGGAAATAAAATTATTTGGATACAATAGTATATTTTATTACGGTTTTCATATAGCGCTCCACCCCTATTAAAGTAAACGGGCTCTGCCATCAAAGAAGTAAAAATCTAACTTTCCAGCAAGCTGTTGAACTGCAGGCCTATTATGTCCAGAAAGCATTTTTTCAGGAGAGATAAAAACCAGTTTCATTCTATTTAAAATTGTTCATATATCGTGTATCATTTCTTGCTTTCAATCAATATTTAGACTCTGAACTCATACTGCAGGTTAAGAAACGACTTAGAAATCAAAATTTTGGGCTTAGTGCATTTGAATAGCTAGCAGAATGGCAGAAAGACAGCAGTAAGGAAGAGCCAAGGAGTAGCAGTAGAAAGGCTGCAGAAAGAGTCAGGAGCCCAGAGGAGGGGGCAAAGGAGGTGATGGGTGGGGGCAGAAAGTGGAATTGAAAGCAGACAACAGAACATTGCTAGAGAGCAGGAAAGGAGGTGAAAGGAGACATTGAAATATAAACGATGTGAAGATTATGAAATCTAATGGTATGTTCTGCCCCATTACTCTATAATGCTGATTAAGTCGTTTTTCACTCGGGCCCAATAAACAAAGTACAAACAAACACACACACACACACACACACACACACACACACACACACACACACGCACACACATACACCACACAACACACACACACACACACACACACACACACACACACACACACACAGAGATTTAGCGTCTCAAATCTTCCTCAATAGAGCTACTGATGGTTCGTCAACCACAAGGTTTGCTAGGTATAACATTTTGACCCATATCCTTACAAGATTTTCAAACTCTCTCTCTCTCTCTCTCTCTCTCTCTCTCTCTCTCTCTCTCTCTCTCTCTCTCTCTCCCCTCCCTCTGTCTGTCTGTCTGTCTGTCTGTCTGTCTGTCTGTATGTCTGTCTGTCTGTCTGTCTGTCTGTCTGTACCCTCCCCCCTCTCTCTCTCCTCTTCCAAAACCCACTCACCTGTAAAGCCTGGAGGACAGTCACACCTGAAGTCGTCCAGTAGGTCAATGCACGTGCCACCGTTCCAGCAGGGCGAGAACTCACAGTCATCAATGTCTTCTTCACACGTATCTCCGGTATAGCCGTCCGCACAGATACACACGAAGCGGTCGTAAAGGTTCATACACTCTCCTGGGAAGAGGGAGAAAGAAATGCGGGGTTTCGGCTAAGTTTGAAGGACGGGTAGGCTTAGTGGAGGGAGGTGGAGAAGTCTTCTTTTTAGAAAGGTATATCTATATTTTTACCTCTGACATCAGGTGACCCTCACCCAAAGATTTTCTTCTACTCTACTAGAGAATCTTTGCCTCGCCTCATTCAATGTCAAATATTTCAACGTAAGCAAGGCAAATGAAAAGGTCTAAAAATTTTATCAATGACTCCATAGTATTATGCCCCAAAAATGACGAGCATCCAATTCCTCTCTGTCGTGACAATACTGACTTGTTAAACTGCAAGTTACATTCTAAGGGAAACAACTGCGTTTATACATGTCGCTTTCATTGTTCGTTTTTATGTCCCTTTACACGATGTACATAAATATAAATTACACTTTTATTTGTCCCAGGACACTTTGGTTTACAATGGCAAATATACAATAAACATACATAAATACATACTTATGAAATCGTACAAACATAAATACATGCATACCTACATACATAAATTCACAATTTTACACAGATACAGAACAGTCCACAACAATGCAACTGCCGGTCGCCACTGTGCAGCGCCCTGTATTTTAAATGATTTTCTCTGTCTCATTCATCTATAATGTATCCAAGTCTTTAGTGTGAATTGTAAATACCGCAGTTCACCGGAGGTTCTCGAGGCTCCCGTGAAGTTTTGGGTCTCTCCGCCTACAGTTGGGCCAATGTCTCATCTAAAAATTAATGATCACTTACTTTCTTTAAAAAAAAGAAAAAAAGACAGTCACACAATCATGAAAACTGGTCACCAGCTCACCTCCATTCAAGCATGGTCCTGACTGGCAAAAGTCCACTGGTATGTCGCACATACGGCCTCGGTAGCCAGCTTTACACATGCAGAAGAAGTCTCCGTTCTCGCCGGGTAAACAGATGGCGTTGTTGAGGCACGGCGCGCTCTCACACGGATCCACGGTGACGGACACCTCGCAGTTTGGACCTGTAACACGCAGAGATGAATGTCGTGTATGTATATAATACATACATACATATATATATATATATATATATATATATATATATATATAATATAATACATATTATACACACACAGTATGGGGAATACACAGATGAATGTCATATAGATGTATTGTACGAAGAATGCAAAGATGCATGTCGTATACATATACAGTAAGAAGAACCTAGAGATGAAGTCGTATACATATACAGTAAGAGGAACATAAAGACGAAAGTCCTATACATATACAGGAAGAGGAACATAATGACGAATGTCCTATACATATACAGGAAGAGGAACACAGAGATGAATGTCGCACACATATACCTTAAGAAGAAGAGATGCATGTATACATATACAGTGAGAGTAACCCATACATGAATGTTGTTCATTACTCGGCAAGGGAAACATTTAGGTTAAATCTGTACATGCCCACATTATGGGGAACATATAGATGGATGTTGTACACATGTACGGTATGAGGAGCATAATGAATGTCGTACACATACGAAGAAAGGGTAACAGGATTATGAATGTTGTATACACATCTACTTGCTAAGTGGAAGATAGAGGTTGAAGTCCAAGGGTTGATAACTATTTTTGTTGTCGGCCCTATCAAACTTATGTTTAGCCTAGATTCAAGACTAAGGACAAGGGCACTCAACTTTCGAAATAGCCTTCAATGTTTCAAGTAGAGCTTTCAAAAAGAAGAAGAAGAAGAAGAAGAAGAAGAAGAAGAAGAAGAAGAAGAAGAAGAAGAAGAAGAAGAAGAAGAAGAAGAAGAAGAAGGGCAACAAAATCAACAACCACAGCAACAACAACAACAGCAGCAACAACAACAACAACGACGACAACAGCAGCATAACAACAACAACGACGACAACAAAACAGCTGCAGGACAACAACAATACTACCCCCACCAGCAGCAGCAACGATAGCATCATCAAGTACCAGCAAAAGCAGCAACAACAACAACGCAACAACAACAACAACAACGCAACAACAACAACGCGACAACAGCAATAACAACACAACAACAGCAACAACAACACTACCTCCACCAACAACAGCAACGATGTCAGTATCAACTGCCAGCAACAACAACAACAACAAGATCTTCAAAAACCTCAACAAGAACGTACGTTACCAGAAGAGACGGATGGTACTCACCGTCTGTGCCCGGCGGACAGATACACTTGTAGCCCTGGTCCAGGCTCACACAGGTCCCTTCGTTCTGACACGGGTTGTTGAGGCAGTTGTCCATCAACTTCTCACAGTTCTTGCCTGGCAGAGACAATATAAAGACAACATGATCACTGCGCCTTTTCTGCTTATCGTTGGACACCGGTTCAAATGTACTAAGCCCAACATTTCGATTTCTAAAAATAATGCAGCTTTTTTATATTGATATTGGTTGTAAGTACTCAAGAAATGTTTTTTGACATTCGAATTCTAATTGTTTACCCCCCCCCCCCAAAAAAAAAGTAAAAAGACGTTAAATTTGTTAAAAGAATGAAGCTGTTTTTGTCTCTCCTGAAAATTTTGGTTTCCGGGATTAGTACGTTTGAACGTCTTGCCAAGTTATGCTTACGGTTGGCAAACTATTCAGTTGTTTAACGCTCAGAAAACAAAATTGTTCAGGAGAGAGGTGAAACAATATATTATAAAACAAACAAACAAAAACTTTTAAATCTTTTCGGATTTTTTCATCATTATGTCTTCTCTTGCTTATGTGGGTGTGCACATGTGCGTGCGTATGCGTGTGTGCGCATGTTTGTGTATATATGTGTGTGTGTGTGTGTGTGTGTGTGTGTGTGTGTGTGTGTGTGTGTGTGTGCACGTGGTGAAACACCAAACCAAAGTGCCAGGATCTGGGCAATAAAGATGTATCTTAACTTTTATCAACACTTAAAATTTGAATTTTGACGAAATATTTTTAGCACATGCAACCGATGCCACAGCAGCAACACTACAAAACTGCCATCTTTTAAAATAAAAATTCTGGACATCTCAACAGCTGGCCGACGTTATAAACCTTTCAACGTGTTAATCTGTCAGACGTTGGGCGTGGGGGGTGG